ACCTCCATTACAGCCTCTGGTTTAATTCCATTTGTGATGCTTTGCTTTCTCCCTCACAATCCTGCACTTCTCTCCTCTCCTCCTTCGACCCCAAGGTATCTGACATGTAAACACACCTTAAGACTTTATGGGAGATTTTGTGTGGGAGTTTGTCTGTGGCCCCCAGCCAAACCCACCAAACATAAAAAATGTTAATGATGGACAGTTAAATATTAGCTCTCATGGTTGCTTTTGAATGCTGTGTGGCTGTGGTGGATTATTCCGAAACAAGTGTTTCTCATTATGTGGAGTATTGTGCTTGGCCAGGAGGCCAAAAAGGATCTGCCAATTCAAAATCTGCTTTCCAGTGCCTGCTCAGAATACCATATATAGTTTCACCTGTTATCCCGCTCAGCTCTCTGAGATAATCCACGCAGACCATGCATTTCCCTGCCTTTGTTTGGTTTTTGAAGTGCACTACAGCTGATATCCTGAAGTACAGAGTGCTTTTATTTAAAGAAAATACACGGTGTTGATTTCAAAGCACTCTTTTTGGAGTCTTTTAGCATCAGGAATTGTAGGATAATCCCCCCGCAGCTTCTCGGCTTCTCTTGAGTGGCTTCAATGATTTCTTTGTTTCGCTGCAGATGCAGGAAGACCTCATGTTACACTCGAGATGGAACAGAGTGATACAGAAAAAAATCGTAAAAACTAGAAATACTGAGGAGCACCAGAGGGATTCTAAATAAGAAATTGACAAAAGAATTCATAGCCAGCAGCGAAACGCCAGAAATATTTGGAGAATAAAATTTTCAAAAGTAGCTTGAAACTATTAACTGTTTTTGTTTTATTTTTGAGTCTCTTTTTTTAGTTTCTTGTGGCCTCCTGTGGAGTCTGGTGTCCACTTTCTGTATTGGAATCCCACATTGTGGCTCTAAGAAATATCATTCTAGTGTCTTTTTGTTTTTTTGTCCCAAGATCTAGGATGTAAATAAGTAAAGGCGCAATGTCAATGTTGACCACATTTAAGTGACTAACATCTTAAAAGGCATTAGTCAAAATAGATGGCGCTCCAGTTATGGATTAGCTGCTGCAGCCCAGCTTCAGTTTGATTTTCATCCTGCCACAGTGTTCAACGCTCCGTTCTCAGTGAAAGCCTTTTTTCCTGGCAGCTTCATTGAAAGTTACAGGCTGTTTGTAACAGAGATGTGGAATTTGTGACACACAGATGAGAGTCTTCCAGCCTTGACCCATCTCTGTAAACGGAATGTGTCTTTGAAGATAAGTGGGCATTTAAACTACTACAGCAGCGGCTCGATGCTCGTGATCCATCGAGGGGTGCACGTTCACACAGGTTACACGGCCATTAAACAAGGAGAGAATCAGATCAGATCTCCCTCCCTCTTCCTCTCTGTCTTTCTCCTACACACACTCACATGCACACACACACACACACATCGAGGGAGAGTGCAAGAGGGAAAGCAACTACGGCCTACCTCCTCTCTGTGAGGTTGGATGTGATCATATTCACCTCAGGAAAACATTTTTGCAAACAACAATAGTGCACTTGTGTTTCAGTTTTAGCCTGTGCCGAGGGTCACCGAGGACAAACTGTTTAGTGGTGGTGCTCCACGAGGAGGAGTCAGCTGGTTCTAATCAGCTCAGCTCCTCAGTCGAGATTCATCTGCTGTCCTCCAGTTGAATCTCAAATTTTATCTAATTTTGTTTTTCAGGCTAATTGAAAACACAACGGCAATCCAGCATTTTGACACATTAATGAGTCCAACAAAATGGATAGTGGTGCGGCGAGGTGGTGTGCGTGCAAAACTTTCACATGTGCAGGAGCTGTGACTACTTTCAGGGAGAACCACTCATTGTCAAACATAACACCAAACATAACGAAGTGTTTTCAGAAAACATTTCCTCCAACATGAACCCAGTTGTCCTACTTCTGTTTGTACTCTGCAAACACTTTCCAGCTGTTTCAAAACATGAGAATGAAGCCAGACCTGATGCTGTTAATTTCCTCAAAATATCATGACAAGTACATCGTATCATAGTTCCATGAGGTCATGTTGTCTTAATATGGGAAATATACACTCCAAGTTTCTTATTATCAGAAAAAAACAGCTGTATTATACCATAACATGTTTTGTCTGGAACTCAAAAAATATTTTTTTTAGAAAATAAAAGATATATAAACTTGAATTGTACATTACATGCAACATGCTCTGGATTCTACAGGCATTCCCAAATCTGCTTTTTTCCATGTTTAGCTTTCAGTAACTAGACACTCTCTGCGCAGTTTCTTTGTCTAGTCATGAAAATGTTGACGGTTATTTTACTTTGCACTTGTAATAATATTTTAAGCACAATGAATGCAAAAAGCACAGTAAAATGCATGTCTTTCCCCAAATCTTTACTCAGTAACTGTAAAAGTGCATTCAAAAAGTAGCCGCCCCATGTTAGTCCAAATAATCTTTCATCCCAAATAACAGACGATGCCCTAAAAGGCAGCTTTAAGTTCTAAAATGGAGCTGCTCTCTCCTTTAGCTCATTCAAATACAAATTTCTCAGCCGCAGTCGCAGGATCAGATTTGTCTCTCTGGAGTTAAACTAATTCAACTCTTACCATTTCAGACCAGATGTCATGTTTTTCCTCGGTGAAAGGGCAACACAGCTTCTTTCTAAGAAACAGAAACCAAGTCAAAGTGCGGTTTGATCAGAACTGACTTGTCAGCAGTAACTCCTCTGATACTGATTGCTGAGGATGTCTGGCCTTATTCAAACCACATTGGGTGACATTTGAATTCTTGTAGTACTAGGTAGTATTTGTGCCTCCATTCAGACCAAGTTGTTCAACTGCAGTATGTCTCTGGTATTCTGTAAAAGCCACTGTAGGTAACTGACATCTCGGTCAGCTTTTACAACTGTACTCAGAGAGATTCGTCACTGACTTCTGGATATCTCACTGGAAGTTGGACCGTATTGTTGGTGTTTTTCCTGCCGGCAATCAAATGGAAAAAAAAAAACAAATTCGGAAGTAATAATTTCTGCTTTCCCCTGTGCTGCTGCCTAACCTGTGCCAGATCACAAGGACAATCTCTGGACAGTTAAACCTAATATCTGTGTAAAGCCACTACACACCATTAAGTTTCCACTCCTTCCTGTTTGGTACATTTTGAAATTCAATTTCAGCGTGTGCCTTGATGTATCCAAAAGCTGCAAAAAAATGGAAAGGCGGACGGAACAGAGTGGAGCTATAAATTTGGTGTAAATCTGCGAGAACCATTTAAAGTCAGAGTGAGTGCCGACCTCCCCCCCGTCCCCCCGCCCCCACTCCCCCACTGTACACACCCCGTTTCAGTGCTACATCAACTTGCCTCAGTTTACTTGTCATAAGTGTTCTTTGCCTGGAGGTTCAGGCCCCACATCAGGAGGGAGGGCGGGGTGGGGGGCTCTGTTTGGTGACAGCGAGACCTCCACTCATCAGCCAGTCAACAGAGCTTTGACTGATCAAACAAAAGTTTCTGCAGCAGCAGTTATCAGGGTTTTTTCCATCAGTGTTCACCTCTTACAAAAAAGGAAGCACGTGGAGGAAGTCGAAACCCGAGACAATAAATATTCTCACTGCATTAACCTGTTTAAGTGTAAAACCAACAAGACACTGGAAGTTGTGTCTCTGCGGTATCTTAACGACTTCATCCGATTCCTGTCTCTGTTGAGGAACTGCTCTTGGGCAGACTGACTATTTAAATAAGGATGTTTGACTTTGGATATACAGACCACGAGTCTCTCACAGGGGTTCTTTACTGTAACGTAACAGGTGGAATAACCTTCAATGACCTCTGGGAAAAGAACACACAATTCCAAAGTAAACCATAAAACTTGGACAAGTTTGTTTTTTTTTTTTTTTTGTTCTCAACACATGTTTAATATTATTTATCTTAATTTTTTATGGCCCTTGGACCTTTTTTTGACCAAGTATCAGAATACATGGACATAAGGGACAAATTTGAACCTGCACTTCAATCTTGCAGCTAACAGCTAAACAAAAAAAAATACATGCAAAAAAGCAGTTATCTTGTAAGAAAATACATTTCATATTAAGAATATTTTTGCAGATTATTTCTAAATTTTTGATTTGTTGACACAATAAAAACAAATGCTTGGCCCCTTTCACCAATTGAAGGAGGATTTGTATTGCAGTACTGTAGGTCTCCTCCGAAAGCCATGGAGTACCATCTCTTCAGCAGACTGGTGTTTAAGAAGCACCAGTTCAAATATTTGAGGAGCACATGTGGGGCTGAATGGTGGCACAGGATTTCTTCATAAAGCCGCTGAGGGCCAGTCGGTGGGGGGTCGTTTTAACAGTAGTGTCAACAACATCAGGAGATCCCACCTCTGTCGACTCAGCAAACAGCGTGTCGCTGAGAGGCTGTGACGGCGCTTTCTGGAAAGATGCTGTGGTTTTCTCAGAACAGCCAACATGCTGCCAACAAGCCTTGGCCATTGAGTCCAGTGGTTCCACAGCAACCGAGAGAGTAAAATAAAACAAAACTGAACTTTGAGGTCTGATGCAACGACAAGGCCTTTTGGACAGGAGTGAAAACTGAAAATAAACTAAGGTCAGCTGAACAGAAAGTGAGCAGAGCTTTCACATCCATAGAGGATTTCTCAATGAGACACTCATTGACAAATGGCAACACAGTTGCTGAGCTAGTAAAATAAATGTGCTGTTTAATATAAAATGCATCATTACTTTTTTGCTTTTTTACCCACTCCTCTGCGTGTCACAGTTTCTCTTCGCTGCAGGTTGTAATGTAAATCTCCCACTGCCTGGTTCTGGTGCCGTGGAAGTTTCCAAGCTTTCACTTCGCTCAGCTGCCACTTGAAGTGGGCTGAGCTGTCAGCCAGGGCTGAGTGGGTGTTTGTTTACCCAGCCTCCCTGTCTGTGGACACCCAACACAGGTCCAACATCATCAACCCACTGCTCACCTGTCTCACTCCATGTGGACACAGACTCTCAGTTCAATGAGGAAGCGCTGCCTCGACACAAGCCAAATGTTGTGAAATCTAAGATTCAGTCAGTCATGTCTTCCTGAAGCATCTCATTATCCTAAATATCATAAATATGTTTTTATTTCATCAACACATTGATGTTTATTTTATTTGGACAAAAACTAGCCGGTGTTTAACTATCTGTTAGATAACTGTTAGCTACTTAATGCTATATTTGACCCATTTATTTATTTTTTGGTCTCACGAAGAAGAAATTAGTCAAGCTCAGTCACGCTGGAGGAAAGTAGGTAGTGAACTGGTATAAAGTAAACCTTATTTGTAGCAACATCTTAGGTTTAGAGTCTCTTCTGTACTAGAGTTTCTCTGCAATAATACTGACACTGGCAATGACACTGGTCGACCATACTGTACAGTAGTTTACAAACCTAATAGGAAACAACATAGAAAAGAGTAAGTTGTTGTACTCTCCCTCTCGCTCTCTTTCAATATTCATTTTTTCAGGTTCCTATACTTAATTTTTTTTCAGTTGCCTGAGGAAGCACTATGCATCCCTCGTCCTCATCCACTCACTCTACTTTCAAATTCTGTTTTTCTCTCTCTCCATCTGTCTGGTCTGAGGGCATTTACGTCTGCTGGGGGGTTCCTAAAAACCTGGCCTTCTCCACCTGATGTAGACACATGTGTGGACAGGACTCATAATTAAAAGGGAGGGAGGAAGGAGTCGGTGATGTCCTGTGACGCAGATCACATTGTTTATTTGGCTGGCAGCAGTAGCAGTGCATGAAGTTCTAGTTGTGGTCTGACCTGACCATATCTACCAGACGTTGTGAAAGTTCATACAAATAATGTTCCAGCAGGATGTTATAATATAGAATAACTGAAGCTTTGATGCAGACGGGACTCCACTCTTATGCCACATCATCAAGGATATTGACTCCATGGTGCCACAGAGCTGTTAAAGAGCCGCTAAAACCTGAGACAATAAACAGAGGGAGCCAGTGGCGTATAGCAGCATAGCAGTAAAAGTGTCAGTCGCATGGACAGTGTTTGATCGCTCCCTTCCCTTCAAAGGAGGTTGAAAGTGTGAAAGTTATGCACACAGATATGTTGGAGCCAACTAGTGAGAGCTTACAAATATATATTACTTCAACAAAAGCAGCTGAATCCTTTAACATCTGTGTCTCCACTCAGATTTTGCCAGGAATCCCCTCAGAAGGCCCTGCTCCTCCACAACCTGCTCTTTATTTCAGAATTAAAAGCAGTTCTGAAGCGAGCATCAGTGCAGATCTGGATCTAATTCATTTTTAATAACATAATATTGTTTTTCCACCTCGCGCTAGCATCCGGGACGAGATGGATGTGTCACGGATATTATGTTGAAAAAATTGACTTTGAAATGAAACAACTGTGTTATTTTTTCTTCTGCAGCATCTAGACCAAATGCAAAATCACTGTGGTTTTCAGACACTTAAAACACTGATGTGCAAGTTCTATATGTGTGGCATGAAAGTTGGACTGCTTATATGTCACCTGTTAATTCTTTCTTTAACCTGTTTTGCTCAAGCTAAAATATATTTACGTTATTTAGGTTCATTTTCTGTGTTTGTTTTTTTTTTTTTTCAAACGTTGTATCCTCCTGTTAGCTGGTTTTTAGCCATTTCTTTGCTAACTTTGAGCTATTTTGCTATGTTTTATGCTCAGTTTACTTGTCTCCGTACTTGTCTGAGTGTACCTTTCCCTTTACTGGTAAGTCTCTAGTCTTGTATCCAATTATCTTTATGATGTTTGGCAACAAGTGATCCATTTATACTCAAACACAGTAATAAAGTTTCACTCTGAGTTAAACTCTCGGGCCTTTATAATGGGAAGCATGTTTATCAGCAGGCGTGCTACATTCTGCCTATATTTTCCCGATTTAATCTTCTTGATAAAACAGTCAGGATGCTTCTAAATCAAAAGTCAACCACAAACAGTAATGTAACTCAGGAAACACTGTTAGACATTTCCACCTCAAATGCTCCCTCACCAGTAGGTGGCAGTAATGCACTTTAAACAATTCGGAGCTGCCTGTATTTTCCCATTTCCCTCCTTTTGCATGTGGACCGGTTGTTTCTGCTTGTGCTGTGTTGTAATATCCCACAGTGAAAAGGTGACCATGGTGTCACTCTTCATGATGACGTCTGTCTTTGTCTAATTACTATGAACCACCTGTTAGATGTTAAACATCTGCTTTGTTAAATGTCAGGGACAATCATTTTGACAATACCTGAGCGAGTCCAGCTTCAACAAAAAGGTTTATTTTTCCAAAATTACTTCACTGTTAAAATGAACGTGGAAAAAAAGAAGAGAGTTTGAAATTATAGGTAATTGGAAACATGCAGAGGCTCACAGCATCCGACCCTGGCCGGTTATATTACGAGAACAACGAATAGGAGATTGTTTCTAAAGAGAATGCTGCTCTCCAGTGGGCATATGACAACATGACATGACAACACAAAATGGGCTGACCACACGTCGAATGACAAGCTTTTAATTTTTTTTTTCTTTTACACCATGGTGGACTTGGTTAAAACAATGGTAGACTGGTAAAATAAAATACAGCTCCGACTCATTACAAGTACAAGTTGATGTTAATTTTGGTTGGTATTGTCTTATATTATTATTATTATTTGTTCATACAGTAGTACACCAGAATAACGATGAGTAAAAACATTTGCCTAATGGTAATGTTGACAGTGCAAACAGATTATTTTAGACACTGACTTGGGATAAGCTATTAAAGCTTCCAAGCTATTTGATGAAGCACTGCTGTATGTTTGCTAGCCGTTCTATTGGTCCAGAGATGAGGTTAACTCTTCTGCTACTGCAGAATTGTTGCAATAACTATATATTTTGAGCCATCATCTGTCAACAATTCTACACAGTAGTATCTTCTTCTTCCAGACGCCTCCTCCATTTCACATCGCTTCATCTCTTGTCTTTGTTATTATCACACCAGACATTTTCATGACCTTTTCCACTACATTGACAAATCTCCAGGTTCTTCTTTTCTCCTCCAGCCTGGCAGCTACAACTTCAACTGATGTTGAAGCAAGTTGTTAAATATAATCTTTATCTCTCTGCTGCACTTGTCCGACCCTGCTTGACCTTGTCTCTCCTACTTTAAATCCAAACTCTGTTTTAATCACCAGCCATAAATGTGATTCAAGACGGAAAGTCACAAAAAAAACAACACCTGCTTATGTTTGATTTACAGTATAATCAGTGAGACATGCAGAAGTTCTGTTGTGTTTCTTTAAAATAAGTCCTTGGTTATTCCCAGCAGCCACAACATGGAAACTAAAAGTGCTGTTTGTGCAAAATAAATAATAATTAAGGAGTTTTTCATTTAGACATAATTTATTCATTAGGCTTATTGAGCATATCATTATTTGTTTAATAACATCTGACAATAATCTGAGTATTTCTCCCCTGCAGCCTCCTCACTCCAACCAAACACCTCAGTGTCCCTCAGCTAAAGGCAGTTATTCTTTTCTTCATGTAAAGAAAGGTCAAATATGTCGCACCTGCTAGAATTCCTATCAACAGAGTGCTACCGACTATCACGGGTGCGTTCTTCTTGGCCACGCGAAACGCCACGGGCAGCACAGCCGATATCAGAATGTTGTTGACGTGGCCCAGAACCCTCCTGAAGGCCGGGCGCTCCACCACGCGCTCGTAGTAGGTTTCCAGGTTGACGCGGTTACCGTTGCCCCAGTAACGACGGGAGAGGCCGAGGAACTTGAGGCGGTGCAAGGTGACGGCGAGAGAGATGTCAGCCATGCTGAAGAACTCTCCGCACAGCCAGGACGGACTACCTTCTTCTGTGGTCAAAAAGAAAGGAAATATAAACATAAAAGCATAAACATTGTCACCGCTGACGTTGTGGTTACCTGGTGTTTCCTCCACCCTTCTCTGGAGCTCTGTCTCCACCTGGTCCATCACACTTTCCATTTCATCCAGGAGCTTTTTCAGATACTTCATGTTGTCATGGTCCAATAATTTAGTCTGCACAGAGGTTTTTTTTTTACAGTAACAATATTATTATGTATATATATGTTTTATGGTAAATTACTGTGAATTTCAAGGATTGTTTTGATTAATCTATGCAGCCGGCCTTGTTCTTACAGAACAACCAGAAAATAAGCAAAAAAAAACTAAAAGAAAAAAAGTTCTCTACTGTGACTAACTTGCATTGTTTTTACCTTCAGGCGCCTCTGTTTTGCTACATAGGCATCTTTAAGCTCTGGGTTCTGCTCTGCCAATTTCTTCAGTTCAGTGTGAGTATTAACGATCTGTGCTGTGGACAAAGTGAGACATTAAGACACAAAAACATTACTCCATCTCAGCAGACTGGTGTACCAACCGTATACAAGGGGTTGTACTTTTCTGTATTACTGTGTCTTACTTCGAATGCATGTGGCAGCATATGCTGGTATGTGTGAGTCCACTGTGATCTCTGGGTGAAGGATGCAGCCATGGGTGTACGCATCCATCTGCAGTGAGTCCAGCAGCTCTCTGTAGTGCTGCACTCTGTGATAGTATGTGCTGCCTTCATCTGGTACCAGCTTGGGTGTGCAGTCTTGAAGGAAATAAGTCAAGAAAAATGATACTTAAAAATGATGTGTACGTTTGTCTGAACAAGGTACAAAAGTCTCAGGGTTATTGTCAACAAATGTCCTGTGCTGAGAAGTGTTCTATACTTTCTGTAGTATAGCCATGCTTACCATAGGTTCCTCCTGAGGTGACTGGAAAATACCTTTAGTATTTAGCTATCATGCATAAGTGCAAACCAAAAAAAAAAAATTAAGAAATTAAATTTAGACAAAAGCAAATCAAATATTTTGAGCAACATAAAAAGACATTGCATAACATTGCATAAAAATCCGTAAGAAAGGACTTATTACTCAGTGATTTTAGTGAGCTCACCATTGAAATTGTTCTCTAGGTAGTCCATGATTTGTGTCGGGTCACAGATGACATTGTCCCCATGGACCAGGACTGGTACCTCACCAGCCGGATTCAATCGCATGAACCAGGGCTCGTTGTGTTCACTGAGAGGTAAACTGACGTCATATTCCTGACAGGGGAGACCTTTCTCTGCTATGGCCAAACGCACCTGAGAAAATAATATATTAGAATAGAATAGAATAGAATAGAATAGAATAGAATAGAATAGAATAGAATATTAATTTCTGTTTGCAAATGATGACTCATAGAAACTGAGAAAAATGTTGTATTTTTATTTGGTTTTAAATTGTATTTATTTATTTATTGCTGTTTACACGCCATGCTGTATGTCATCTGAATATCATCATAAGCACCAAAAAAGCACGTAGAATTTGCTAGATTTTTTAAAAATAATGTACCACCCTCCAGTCTGCATCAACGGTCGTCATTATCCTAACAATGACTCGGCGCCTCAGTGGTAATAATGACAAGGATGTCACAGTTTCATGCAGCTGCAGCTGCAGGTTTATTTTAGCAGGTGAGGAGCTGTCCGTCAGAGGGTGGTGCTGAATCCTGATCACACTTACCTTCTGAGAATTAAACGACTGTGTCCAGTGATACAGCGTCAGTTTGGCCTCACTGGGTTTCACCACTGTTCCACGGTGTTGCTCTTCATCTTCTGCTGGTTCCGTAGCTAAAAGGGCAGGTTTTTCCTCCAAGATTTCCGAGCTGGTTTCGGACGACATTTTATTTATTTGTTTTCAGGAGACACATAAGAGCAGGGCAGGGCAGCGCGTCGAGGTTTGCGAATGGCTCCTACTACTGGCTTGGCGGGGAAGGTTAAATCTGCTGTATATATTTTGAAGTAAGTCATACTTAATTTAAGGGGAAAATAATGTATCCAGTTATTGTATAATTTAGTCTTGTTTTTTGACCTATTTACATTGCAGTTTATCAACCTTTGTGGTATTTCTTTGTTTCTTTTTTTAATGAAACAAATTAAATAATAGTACACAATTAGAAAAAAAACAGGAACACAGACAGGAAGGGGAAATGGTACAAACAGAAGCGAACTCCAGATAGAGAAGGGATTAAAGAAAAAGACACCGAACGTTTTCATTATATAAGATTTACTTTACAGATGCAACAACTGTGTTTGTACAGCAGAGGTCACTCTCGTTTATGCATTTATTTTTTTGACTTCTGCAAGTTTAACACCAGAATGGTCCATCCTTCAGTTTGTTTTTTTTTTTTTAGTTTTAGACACAAAAATCAATGAGTGAATGTTTGCAAATTACACATGCACAAAAGGTACTACTCACTGGAATTCAACAGTTCTCCAACGTTTCACCGGTGAACTAAGATGATGAGGAGGTGAAGTTACATGTTATGGTTGACGACCCTTTACTTGCCATTCCTGTCTAAGTGTACAGGAGAACAGATGGATGGTTTTAGTTATTAAAACAAAGTGTGTTTAGTTTGTCTGCTGCTCTAAAAATATGATGATCTAAAATGATGTCTGTCACAGAATAGATAGTGTGTGTTCTAAATTGTGTATTTATGTCAATCATTACTGACAGATATTCAGTGGCTGATTACAGGGACTGCAATGTACAATTGTGAGTTGTTTTTTGATGTATTGCATCAGAGATATTTTTTATTCCGTGGGTGCAGAAGATGTTGGATGGAAGTGGGCGGTACCACGCGCTCTGACGTAGTGATTGGCCCAGTGTCTTTCTTCAGCACTGACTCGACGCCTCTCTCTCTCTCCCTCTGTGATCAGTGGGTGAGAGGGGGGAGACGAGCAGCACACAGCTGAGAAACCCGGCGTGAGCCTCCGGTAAATGACGCCCACCGCTCATACCTTTACATGCCTTTCCTGTGACATACATGTCCGTGTGTGGAGGTGCCACGCCACACCGTCCCTATTCTCCTGTTTGTTTACTCATCTGTTTGTTTGTTTGTTTTTATTTCCACCAGTCATCATCCAGTTGGCTCTTGCTCTCATCACACCAGCGGTTCTGGATCGCCTCTCTTTAACCGCGGTCCTGGAGCGGAGACGCGTCTGAGTCTGCAGCAACACAAACTGCTTCTTTGCAGCCTTTATATCTGAATGACGGGCGGAAGGTTTGACTTCGACGATGGTGGCACTTACTGCGGGGGGTGGGAGGATGGAAAAGCCCACGGACACGGCATCTGCACCGGACCTAAGGGCCAGGGCGAGTACGCCGGCTCCTGGTCGCACGGCTTTGAGATAGTAGGGGTGTACACCTGGCCCAGTGGCAACACCTACAAAGGCTACTGGTCACAGGGGAAGCGGCATGGGCTCGGCGTGGAGAATAAAGGGAAATGGATGTACCGTGGAGAGTGGAGTCACGGCTTTAAAGGTCGCTACGGCGTCAGGCAGAGTCACAACACACCTGCGAGATATGACGGCACCTGGAGCAACGGGCTCCAGGATGGATATGGGATCGAAACATACGGCGATGGAGGTGAGAAACATTGCCATACTTGATCCACGTTTGAGGCGCGTGTCACTCTTAACTGTGGATGTGACCGATGAATGATTGACCCAAACATCAGTGAGCAAATTCCCATTGGCTGCATTTGGAGTTGATGCTCTGATTGCGCATCACTGCGCATCGTGATCAGAAATCATCACTTTCCAAAAATACAACCCGTGTTATAGCCTTGACTGATCTCGACTCCTTAGATACCAGCTCAGATAACGGCTCTCCTCTTTTTCCGAGGAACATCATCATTTGGAAACCACCGGTTGTTCCTCTTGTGACAGTATAAATATTTCTGCCTTAATACCTGTTTGAAAAAAGTCATCCACAATACTGATGGAAAACAGGGGACTGTTGCTCAGTGGCTAAGAAGTTAGATTCCCATCCCGTTTAGAATAAATCAGATTAGATTCAACTTCAATGTCACAGCACACGTCAAAAGTAAATGTGAGTGATGAAGGACGTAGGAGTCAACCCCACAACCTCTCACATGCTCAACAAGTGCTATAGCAAGTATATCCTTCATGCTTATCTAGGAATTGAACCTGGGACCTCTCACAGATGTTTAGAGAAGTGGGCTAAACTCCAGCTTCCCTGGACATGACACTCGACCTTAACCCCAGACCTTATATCCAGGTCTGGGGTCTATTACAGACACCAGACCTGGATATGAGCAGAGAGAAATAAAAGCAAGCCAGATATTTTGTGTGGATAAACAACTGTGGCACCCTTTAAAAGAAGAAGCCATTAGGATATCTTTCACTGTCCACCACCACTGTTCCCAAATCTGTAAAATACCCAAGTAAAATATCTTTCAAATTTAATTTCCCTGGGTAACTCCTCTGAAGAAGGTAGCAGAGACATAACATTTTCTTCTGGCTTCTATAAAATGTTTACCATTCTGCAATTTTTTAAGTCTTCTTGCTGTCAAAAATGGCATATACTGTGGATATTAGTAGTCAAATTCAATGAGTAGTTTGTTTCTCTAGGCATGTGGCCTTGCACAGGACGCGAGTTGTATGATTTTGTTCAATTAAAAAGAAAATATTAGTGATAAATCACACTAAACAAAGTTTGGTTCTGTGCTTGTACTGAGATTTGTTCACCCAGAGTCATCAGACACCAAGTGCTGTACGTTGTGGTGATTCAATTTGACATGAATATTAACAAATTCCTCATGGTAAAGAATAATTGTCCCACATGATGATGCAGTGGGCGGGGCCTGGTTAAATCAGCTGATCCTAGTGAATCCACAGAACATCTGGTTGTCTGACCCCGCAACATTTCAATAAGTTGGTCTGCAGGGTCACAGAATTAAACTGCAGCCTGTTAATCGCTCACTCTGTCCATTCATCCCTGCGTCTGCCCCGGCTGGTATTTCACTTTAAGTTGGAATCCGACCATAATCCCGTGCCTTTCCTTATTGGCAGATTAAGTGAATGTGCTCGATTAACAAGCCTTCCTTCATATAAGGATCGGGGCTGAAATGCGATGCTCTTAAGAAGCTACAGTAGGCTAACACACACTCATCTGGCTCAACAGCACCAAATGAGATTAATCAAGTATTTCTCTCATTATGTGACTCATAGCAATTCCCTGTCGTCAGACCAAACGGTGATGAATGTGCCTACTGTCAGTGGGGGAGTTAGTGGATGTCTGAAAATAGACTTGGAGCTGAGTGATTCACATTCATCCCAAGTGATCCTCCGTACCAGTACCTTAATCAAATCTGTGTTATGCAGTTAGCTGTGCTTACAGCTCCACATCAGAGCGGAAGGAGCAAAAATATTTCATTAGTGGACCTTATCTGTCCAATCAGAGTGGGGCTTCTCTAGGTTTCCTCATTAAACAGCAGATAAGCTGTCATATTATACACAACTGGAAAAACAATCAGGAGAGATCAAACACATTCAGGATTCTGTAAACAAAGTCTATGACTCTCACTCATTGGCACAAAAGCACTTTCATTTATTCGCATCATCTTTTATGCTAGTTTTTACAAACCAATAAGAGTATTTTCACTTTTCGATACCCAGTTCGTCACCAATACTTTCTCTAGGGTTGGGTTTCGATAATAATGCAATGAACAGGAAGGCAGTGTTGTACAGTTGGGACAGCTGTGTGGGTAATAGGCTGACTTGCTGTGTGTAGGTGCGAGCTTAGCCCAGACCAGAAACAAATATGTCCCCGGTCGCTGAATCAGCATATTTTTGCAAGTACCAATATAAGTATTTCAATACAATATCTGGCCCGTTACTGATTTGACTTTAGACCAGTGGTTCCCAACCTGGGGCTTTAGGAATTAATTGTATGTTATGTTAACAATTAATTAAAATTTAGGTGAGACAAGTGTTTCAGCTCAGAGCAATCTTCACTACTTGGTGAAATATTACATCATGCAGGCTGCAAGCTGTATCATTGTAACCACGGTGATTCACTCATTTCCATCTGTTTCTTCAGGTACCTATCAAGGCCAATGGATGGGCGGGATGCGACATGGCTACGGTGTGCGTCAGAGTGTTCCCTACGGCATGGCCACTGTTATCCGGTCTCCACTTCGAACATCAATGGCTTCTCTACGCTCCGAGCAGAGTAACGGCGCGGTTCTCCAGGAACTCTCCTCCACGGCTGACACACCAACGGGCAGCCGCGGTGGTTTCGTCCTTAATTTCCACTCTGACAGTGAGGTGGTCACTGGTAAGAAGAAAGGCCTCTTCCGCCGAGGCTCTCTCTTCGGGAGTCTCAGGCAGTTGCGCAAGTCTGACTCTCGGACCTCAATCTCCAGCAAGCGCAGCTCTGCCAGAAGCGATGCCACCATGAGCCGTATCAGCTCCAGCGACGCCAACTCTTCCATATCCATCGGTGACGGCGAGCTGCCAGATGAGGACCTACCTCTTGAGGACCATGTGGATGCCACCACCACCGAGACCTACATGGGCGAATGGAAGAATGACAAACGCAATGGATTTGGTGTTTCAGAGAGATCCAATGGGATGAAGTATGAAGGAGAATGGCTTAACAACAAGCGCCACGGTTATGGGTGCACGGTTTTTCCCGATGCCACCAAAGAAGAAGGAAAGTACAAAAATAACGTGCTGGTGCGTGGAATAAGGAAGCAGTTGATTCCTCTTAAGAACCCCAAAACCAAAGAGAAAATGGATCGAGCTGTGGAGGGGGCACAGAGGGCTGCAGCAATCGCCAGGAGTAAAGTGGAAATAGCAGCTTCCAGGTAATGTGCTTTGGCATGTGAATGGTGGTGTTTACACACAACAGAAAGACAGGGCCGACAGCCGCAGTCACTTTTTGAAGTGTCAGAACAATGACAAACATCTGAAACTAGTCTCAGTTTCTGTGTCAGGAAAATTCCATCACAAACCTCCAACCTTTATTTACTGTCAACAGTCACTGGTTGTGTGTAACCAATGGGATCATTGGTGGAAAATGTTCTGTTTACATTTGAAATTCTCTCCACATATCTGTAATTCCTCTGCAGTAGGATCAGCCCTAGTGTGTGTACCTTGGCCCGAGAATGTGTGAAAAGGTGCGAACTGTGTTTGTTAATGTGGATTTGAGCAGAAAAGTCATATCCACACTTGTGCCAAGTGAGTCTCGTGTACCCAATAATGACACCTGATCCTCCTGCCAACTATTGCTCTGATGTGCTCTCTGCTCTTAAACAGGTGGATGAGACGTGACCTTTTCATTTAAAGCTCCCCTTCCCCCACTGGGACACAGTTAAGGGTGCGCTGCTTCACTTTGACATCCCCTGCTTTCATTGCATCAGAGAATTATGAGAGTCAGGGCTGTGAGGGTGTGTGCAAGCCATGAAAAGGTCTCTGTGCGGTCACAAGTGTTTTCATTCTCCGAGTGGCACACATTTGCATCAATACCTCACTATCAAGAAAAATTACCCTAACAAACCCTATTCAGCTCAAATGTGCCCAGGTACCTTTACAGCCACCTGTCAGTTCAACATTTCCATAACACACTTATTTTAGTAATTCTTCCTACTTAACAACATTCTAAATGCAATATTTTTTAATATAAATATTTAAGTTTATTATTGGCATTTCTTGCGTAGATGACCCTGCTTTTTTGTTCTGACTGCTGGCACTTTTTATTCTTCAACCACGAGCAACAAAAATATGGGGCTTTTTTAGGTTGCACATAATCTCTCCGTTGCCAAAAACAGATCATGTTCGTTAGTTGTAGAATATTCAAAATTGTCATTTGTATGTGTCAGAAATTTTGTTTTGACCAAATGGAAAGCAACTAGTGCTACATCTTTTTGCCAAAAATTGCCACACCCTCCATGGGACAGTCTGTGAGGGGCAGGACTATGATTCTAAGTAGACACAAGGCAAAGGCTGTATGGCTCAATGTTTTTATCAGATTGTTAAATTTGTTTGAAGATGGAAGTTTTATTGAAAATTGAATTTCAGTGTTCAATCAACTTCCTGTTTGTATCAAGGACCTGTTTGAGCTTCTAAATGACTATAAATGTATTTATAATAATCTCATTGGCTAATTAGTACTGTCTATTTAAACTGATCAAACAAGAACTACAGTACCTCATAATACAAACCCCTGGACTCATAGGCAACTCTTTCGATATTACAGCTGAGCTCAGGCATTTAGATACATGTGTAGCAGCAGGCACTATAAATAGCAACCTTCACTTTAATATCCATGCATTTCAACATACCATACAATATTAACCCCTCTGCTGCAGGGAGTTCATCTTTGATCTATGGTTACAGATTCAGCTCCATCCAAGCTGCGCATTGTGGATCTGAGTTCAAGATCCCCGAAGAATGGGAACCAAAACACTTTGCCAAATCCTAAATGCTGACATTGTGCTATGGTCACACCATGTGAAGAAAGAGTCTGAAAGTGGTTGGGTTTGTGTACTGGAGATGGTGTTGTGATTATGTGTCTGTGTCAGATGATTTCCTTCATCTCTGCATGAAGGCATCAATGTACAGCAGAATTGATCACATGACCTAATGTATAGCTCCAAAACAACAACTGTGAAGTGTTTATGGCAGCCACACCACTCCCTTCTGTGTGCTGCTCCGTCGTCCTGCTCCATGTTTTTATAGATATAACATTAAAACCATTACAATTGATTGATTTTTTTTCTCCCTGTCTGTTGGTACGTGTGTTAGAAACATCCTGAATGGCCGGCTGCAATAAACAGTTGTAAGCATGTTATGTAAGTCTCATTATACAGTGCATGGCAAAAGATGCACTCCATCGATCCAGCTCCAGTCACATGACTCCCTGTCTTTGGATGCGCAGTGTTCAGGACTAGAAATGATGCGGAGGAGACAGAGCTATCGGAAAGACGGAGGAAGGAAGGAAAAAATGAACTGTAGTGAGATTGCAGAGGAAATAAAAGTTGATTGATTAAGTGGAGAGCGGGTGAATTTGCTGAGCAAGAGACTTCTGGGAAGTGGGCAGGAGAGGGAGCGGACAGATAAGAAAGAGCCTCGTGCTGTGAGTGAATGTACAGATGAGCTGTCCCATTAACCACAGGGACAGAGCTGCTGACCTCACGTTTGTGATCAGCCAATCAGTGGCCATCAAGTGTGATAGGGTGGATGAGTGTGAAGTTGTCTGCCACTCATTCTTGTGTTAGTCTTATCTATCTGAAGTATGCTCTCCTCCTGAGTACGTGGGTGTTGGTGTGGATGTGACGGAGATAAAAGCGACCGTTGGAGCCAGTGGGAGTTTACCACACTGTGATGTCTTCTACAGAGTCGTGGAGCAGAGGATTTGGACTAGTTGTTTTTGACTACATTTGTGGGTCACTATCCACATGTTTGTTATTTCAATATTTAAATAATCATCTTTAATTACAAAACCTCCTCCTCATAATAACTCCGATTTATGCCATGTCGCGATTTTTTCATCATGAACAACTGACAGTTATTAATGGTTCACACACCTGAGGTGAATTGTTTAGCAGCTGTTTGTCTCCAAACCTAAACCTGACACCTTTCTTGTGTTCTCCACAGACCGACAGCTGATTCAATCATAAGATTAGTTATAGAAAGAATTAAAAATTATACATTTTATAGTTTTGTAATGGCACAATCAATTCATGCAGCGGGACATTAAACTGTGTTAACAGCACCACCTACAGGCAAGTTATCAAGTATCGTTGTATAGTTACAAATTATTTTTTAATTCTCTCTTCCTTATTTTCTCAGTCCCACGCTGACACACACACATACAACACACACCTACATGCACTTTCCTGACCCCTCCTCTCTTCTTACAGGAACATCTTGTGCATATACTCTACAGTAGCTCATGCACACACACACACATTCACACAGTCTTAGACAAACATACATTCAGTGCGTGTGCAGTTTGCGCTGCTTTGCTAGTGTGTCAGCACTGAGCACTGACTAAATAAGGCAAGGCATCAGTTGGCTTATCAGCACCAGCCAGGAATATACACTGTACTCGTCCTACGACTGATATAGCAGCTCCACAGCTCATTGGTACTATCATCTCTCTTAAAAGTGTGTGTGAATGTGTGTGTGTGTTTCCAAAAATAGATCAGAGGAAAATAATGTTATTGAATTAAATTGTTTGTATATTTGATATTTGATTTTAAAATCATCTCACAATCACTTGCGAAAAAAATGTGTTTGTGTGTGTGTGTCTGTTTGTTTACACCTGCTGAAGTGATGACCTCAGCCTCTCACCACCTGCCCTTTTTGGACAGATCAGCCTCAGTTTCCACATGTAAAACCCAGAATAATCCTAACACTTAGTAAATCATATTTGTTTTCGCTCGATAGAATTAACTGTGGAGAGGAATCTTTTTTTTTTTTTTTCTTCCCGTCGTTCTTATCCTCGGGCCTTTAAATCTTCCGGCTGCTGCCTGCACGGAGGTTTTATGAAGTGATGCCGCACGCCTTTCATAGGTGTTTCACATGTCTGTCTTTAAGTGACAAAATGTACAGTCGCCGTGACACACTTAGCTTACAGTAACTGTAACTGTGGATACGACGGCATGTCGTCTGGATCCCAGGCCGCGTTGGTAAAGTATATTTGTCCGTAATAATGAATGTCAACATTTACATGCTGACACATTCTGGGTGAATGACTGACACGTAAAATTGAAACAGTAACTACTGTGAGTCAGAGTCAAGGTTATTTTGGATATATTTTTTTGCATGACCCACAGCGAAATTAAATAATATTGTTTGTCCAAAATGGACAAAAATTTCACTGTCAAATGATTAAAAAAGGCAAAAAAAATGGGATGTGACCCAGTTCAAACATAACTCTTTTGTAAAATATTAATTCAATTTTGTTGATTTTGTTTTTGCATCAATCGTCTGTTACCATGTATCAATAAATAGAAGTTTGTGTCTGTGCTGACAAAAAACACACCCAGTAGTTCCACAGAGTCTCAGGAAATACTAACACTTCTTAGGGACAGTGTGTGTTCCAAGGTTAAACGAGGTCAAACTTGCAGCAATTCACCTGCGGTCATTAAAAATTTAAATAGCCACATGTCCAGATACTTTATCCACGCTTTCATTTACTCCAGAACCTCTCCTGTCTTCGCGTTGTGCAACGACAAACCCGAAGTCAGGCTGAGCGTCGGGTGTGAAGTATTGCTTTGTACGCACTGTTATTTGAGATGTTCCAGTGCAATCACATGCATCCTTGTTCACTAATCCCCTAATTTCTCTGGGGGATTTCCCCTGCTTTACTGTGTGTGCTCATGTGTGCTGTATATTCCCCGGTGAGTTTCCTCCTGACGTGACAAGATGTTGCATAAAAATCCCAAATGCCAGGCAGTAGTAATGCATAATTTACACCTGCTCCACAGCATTAAGGATTACACACATACTCTGTGTTGTTACCGTGTCCAATAACCTGGTAATTAAATTGCAACACTTCAGTATCTGTATGACCTAAGCTGATTTGTTAGTAAACCTCAGGAGTTCGAATAAAGTCACTCGTGTTGTGTTCCGTGCCCTGATTTGCAGCCCATAATTCACTGTCGGACCTTTTCTGGAGGTGTCATCACTGACAAGAAATAAACCTGTTAATTCCTCAAAGTAGTGTCCACAGCGTGCACACTGGGACTTTAGCAGAGTTTATTAATATGCTGCTGAGGAGGCAGAGCATTTAAAACCTCATGTCATTTTTCATGACCTTTGGAGACGTAACACACTGCTACAGCCACTAGCCTGAATA